ATCCAGCAACAATCCAGCAACAAGCGTTCCAGTTTTGGGTCCAGGTCTGGCCCAGTTTTGGCATGTTTCAATCTTGGTGTTCGCCATATTGTCTATTTTCCCAATTCGTAAGTCAATTCTTGCAGACCCCCTCAGCAACGACGCCCAGAACATCCAATTCCATACCATACCCCCAGGATGGCTTCAAGGCACTTGGAAGCCGCATATTCTGCTTGGGTGGCCTTCTGGGGTGTCAAACTCGGTGGACCCCCTAGGAACGGGCTGCTTTCGTGTCCGGTGCAACCTAGCGGCTTCAGGGTTGCTTTAGGGTGTTGCGAGTTGTGGTTAAGCGAGGTGGTTTTGGTGGTTTGCTAAACCAGCAGCACACCTAACACAAATCAGCTCCAAACCAACCCAAACCCACTCAAAGCCAACCCTAAACCTGCCCAACGGCAGCCTGGATGTCAGCCCTTCGCTTCGCCTAAACCAACCCCAAACCACCCCAAGACCCACCCTCATGAAGATCTAAGCCAGCCAAAAGGCCCCCTAACTTAAACCAGCCAGCAACTCCCAACTGCCACCCAATCAGAGCCAATAAGCAACCCCAGGCCAAGTGTTGCTGGTGATGCTGGGGATGTTGCCAGGCCTGCAGAAAACCAGCATCCAATGGTCACTAGCGGGTCTGACATCCTTTGAACAGCTACCAAGGAGAAAAGAGTGTCCTTTTTCCCTCTGGCTGGGAAGTCTAATGTTGACCCCATATGAATCAACCCCTGTTTATTCATAGGGTCCCGGTGTCCCTGCGTTTCGTGGGGAATCAGACCACTTTTGCAGGGGAACAATTTCTATGAATCAACTGGGGTTGATTGATATGGGGAATCACCCCGTGACCTCCGCAGGTATCTCCGCCTGGAGGGCCGCTACTTGGAATCCACGGATGCGCAGCAGACGCTGCGCCGGTTCCTGGGGCGGCGGGGCGCCTCGCTGCGGCAGCGGTTTCAGGTCTGCCCCTTCCCGGCGAAGGAGCGAGGTGAGAGATGCGACGTGGCTCGGGTTCGCTTGGTTCCCGAACCTCCGGCGCCTTAGGTTTTTCGTTGCCGTCCTGTTCTTGTGATCTGACATTTGGACATGCTTCCTACAGAACAGTTCCTTAGATTCCCTTAGATTTTGTGCATTGCTTTTGGCTGGTTGAGTATAGTGCTTGGGTTGCTGAATTGAGCCCTCTGAAGGTTAACAGCTAAGTTGGTTTGTTGGTTTAGCTTTTTGGTGGCTTTTTGTTGGTTCAGTGGTTGGGTTTCCGAATATGACCCACTCCGAGTTATTCACTTTTAGCGGGGCATCTGAGGACAGCCCAGTTCTCAGGACAGTCAGAGACGTGGTTGGTAAAGGGTCATACCCAAATTCCAAGAGATTCAATCAAAAGTAGAGGCGGACACCCCAACATGGATTTCGGCTTTCCTGTTTCAAGCCAACCCAGAGACAGGTACTCTGAATAAAACGCAAACAAGGTTGGTATCGGTTGCATTCTTCCTCAAGCAAATGTTCTCAACACATGTTTTCTCAAGGACATACCGGCTTGCTTTTTCAAAGTGACTTGTTTCTGAAAGTTCGCGTGTCGATGAGTCGTGGTCGCCAAATACTTTTGGCGAACCTTTTCAGTGTTTAGTTTCCGAGAACTGCGACGTCGTCCATGCAGGATCCGCTCGTGGGTCAACATTAAACCTCCGGAATATAGACCGCAGGTTTCACCGTAATGGACGGCCCATGACCAGGAGGGATGGTTCCAAAGAAGGATGGTTACCCAAACCCGCTTCTTTCCATATCGGGCAACCCACCCACCTTGGCCATGCCCGCTCCTCAGACTTTGATTCAAGGGGTGTCAACTTTGGGTTCGGAAAAATCTTGGTTCGGTTCCCAACGAATTGTCCGGTTCCTTCAGTTTGTGTGTTTTAGTTGGTGTGGTTGGGTTTCCAAAAAAATCACCCACCAAGAGGTGAACTTTTAGCAGGGGGTCTGAGGACAGCCCAGAAAAGGGCAAGCTTTTGGAACCGTCCTTGAGGTGTGCTTTTCGCTGAGCAATGAGCAAACCTACCGCGCAGGTAGTTCCCTGAGGCTCCTTTGCCTTTGCTTTTGCACATGCTTTCGGGGTTTTGTGTCACCAGTTTGAAGAAGATCCAGGGGTGAACCCCCTGTAAACCGGGGCCAGGGTCAAGAATCCAGCCAGATTCGTCTATTGTTTTGGCTAGCCATCCTTCTTTGGTTTGCGTTTCTCCTTTGCGAGTACTGAACAAATGAACAGCTACTAGGGGAACACTGAGGAGATACTAAAAGAACTGTTTGGGAATACCGAGGGCATGATAGAGGACTACTGGGGGAACACAGATTACCAGGAGAATGCTAGTGCACTACCAAGAAAATTATTGGGGAACATTAGGGGAATACTGAGCGAACAATTTGGGGTATACTAAGAAAATAGCAAAGGCACACTGGGGTAATGCTAGGGACATAATTACTAGGAGGGTGCTAATTAGAGGAATACTGGGGGAATTCTGAGGATCTTTTAGGGGGATACTAAGGGAATAGCAAGGGAATGCTTAGAGAACACTGATTGCCAGAAAGCAGGGAGAGGAAAGATGCCTGCAGTGGGTGGCCTTCTCCAAAAATCACCAAAGACCGCATGTGCAAGAAAGGTGGATCCACATACGCCAAGGTGAAAAAATGCTGATTTCAATAAACACAGGCCCCATGGCGGGCCGCTCTCTTTGATAAACAGGGGTTTATTAATAAGGGGTCAGCATTAATGTAAACCTGGTATTAAACTGGCCGACCCAGAACCATGCAAGGAATTAAAAAGGCGGCGGCATCCAATTGTCCTTTGCTTCATATACGAGTACCCGGCCTTTGATTGACCTGACTTACAAGGGGATCCTTTCTCCTAAACCAGCTGGCAAGGCACTTTTCCAAGTGGCCCAGGCTGGTGTCCCAAAAGGAACTCTGTGAAATTGGTATACTCCCCCTGGTATCCTGCATCTGCGCTCCAGTTTCTGAGTAGCAAAGAATTAGGGAAACACCGAGGGGATAAGGGAATACCAGGAGAATAACAAGAGGAAATGCTAGGAGAATACTAGGGGAATACTGGAAGAGAATACTACAAATAAACTGAGCAAATACTAAGGAATGCTGGGGTTACTGGGGGAATATTGGGAGAATGCTAGGGGTATTCCAAGAAAATACTAAGGAATACTAGGACAATATTAGGGGAATACTAGGAGAAATCAACTACTAGGGGTGAGATAATGCTAAAGGAACAGAGAATACGAAGGGGAGTGCTAGGGGAATATTAAAGGAATACTAAGGAAGTATTGTGAATATTAGGAACGTACTAGGGGAATATTGAGGAATATTAAAGGAATACTGGGGAGTGCTGAGAGAACACTAGGGGCAAGAGAAAAGGAATATGGCAAGTTTTCGGGGAATATTAAAGGACCAATGATGACTCTTCAGGGAATTCTCAAAGAATAATAAGGGAATGCTATATAATGGAACACTGAGAGATCACGAAAGAAATACTCGGAAAACACAGGGGACAATGCGGGAAGTGCAAAAACCTCGAGAAACGGAACCCCCCCCCAAAAAAAAAAACAACAACAATCCCCCGAACAAAACCTTGGAGGTACTGGTCATTTCCCCCAAGGTTTTTTGTTTTTAACAGGTTTCTCGAGGTTTTTGTGTGTTTGTTGGTTTTCTCGAGGTTTGGGTCACATGTCCTTTTCCAGAGTACATGGGAATGGTGTTCTGGTGCGTGTTGTTCTGAGTTTTTTCTGGTATTTCGCAAACGCAGACCCCATGGCGGGCCCTTCTGTTATCAAAATAGGGGTCCCGGTGTCCCTGGTTTTCCTGGGGATTCATCACTTGTGGAGCCCCCACCCCCATTTTAATACACAGGGATTTATGACTCAGGTCTTCGGACGTGTCCTGACGGCACCCCCAAACTCAAGCCCCAAGCCCTCGCAGGAGGATTGGGAGGCTAGTGCCCCTCGGATGTGGGACTGGACGGGCGAAGATGTGAGGTGGGGGACCGGGGGACCGCAGGTTTTAGTCCATGGTGCCATTTTGGGTACCTATTTTTGACCCACAGCCATGTCTTAAAGCCGGGGGGATGGTGTCCCTTCTAGTGTCTGCTTTCTTGGATTTGGACCCCCAAATTGTTTGCCTGGTTTCTGTCATATTTTGCATTTGGATCCCCCAAAATAGGTGGTCTTCCCTTTGGTCCCTTTTAAGCCAACAGCAGAAAGGGTAACCATTAAAAGTGAAAGACCCTTGCCGCTTGTTTCCTGAAAATGAACACATACTGGGGCTAGTAGAAACCAGCAAGCCACGATTCGTTGCTTCGAACATTTGCCAAATGCCCAGCAACAAGACTTGGACTTCCTGTAAAGTTATCTTATCGAGCATCTCCAGGAAAGGTTTTCGGAGGTATGGATGTTCATATACCACCAACATAAGCTTGTAACGCAGTAGCTCCTGTGCAAGTGGCAGGCAACCTTACCTCCAAAATCCATCTCTGCAAAATCCCTTGAATGCGGCGCTTTGAATCTCTTCCATTTGCTGAGACGTTTGTTTTACCCCTTGTTGGTTTTAAGGCAATCGTTTCACTAATTATTTGAAACACTTTCTCCGGAGATACTGGCTGAAGCATGAACAATTGCGGTGCGCAACTGTGGTCATCAGCTCTGCGCAAGCTCTCTTTGCGCGATTGCAAGCGCCCGACAAGCCGGTTGGGCCAAGTGGTGACCCCGAATGAAAGGCTTAGACATCAATGCGCTGCGCACGATTGCAAAAGACCCGCTTACACTGCCTGAGCATGCATGGGATGACCGTTCGGGGAAACCACCAAAAAGATGGGCTCTCCCACCAAATGGGAAAAGTCAATCAATTAGCCTGGGTGGAGGCTAGAAATATTGATCAACCCCCCCATGTCAGACACATGTCGGACGTACCTCGCTGAACCTCGGCAAGTTGGGAGTTTCCTACAGGGTCCCAAACAAAATCTTGATTGCTGGTTGCTTCTAGTTTTTGCTCACACATTAGTTGAACCCTTTTTCCCTTAGGGTTGGCCACCGTAGGTTTGTTTAAAACTTGTTTGTGGGATCCCAAACGGTATCAGCGTCTCTGGCTATTCCCAGTCTCCAGGTCATTGAAACCTGTCAAGGTTAAAGAGCTCGTTTTGACAAATAGCCAACATCATTTCCATTTGCTTCAGGCGCTTGGGTTTTGTAGGGGAAATTGGTCCTGACTGGCAAATGTTTCAGGTTAGCGGGTGTGTCTTCTGTCCCCTGCCCTTTTTGGATCTTGTGCAGGTTGCAAAGGGACGCCGAAGGCAAGCCCTTTGAGGGGTCTCCAAATTCGACACCCAAATGGACACAACCAGCACTCGGAATGTTTCACGGGAGAATTGGTGACCCCCAAAAATGGGTGTTGTGTTTCCCCTTTAAGCAGCCCCGTTTTGGGGTATTGTGGGGAGGGGAAGCAGGGTCCAACCTTAAAAAAAACAAACGCGATTTCCCTCCCAGTTAACATGGAACCTGAGAAAAAGGTCCAGGTTTCGAGCGTTTTCCTTTTTCAAGGGACCCGGTCCCCTCAGGCGCTGGACCGTTCCGAGCGCCCGGCGCTGGTGGACGGCATCCGGGTCTCCCTCAAGGCGCAAAGCGCAAAACGTTTTTCGGAAGCGTGGTCGAGAAGTCGCGAGGTCGAGAAGGGTATGGATGAAAATTAAGCCACCAGGAGTTGGACCGCAGGTTTTGGTTTGCGTTTTCATTTGCCAGGGCAACCCATTTTGGGGTAAAACCCACAGCCAGAAGTCGAGCCAAAAATGTGTGGCCCAGGAGGAGACTTGGTGTAAACCGCTGGAGCTCATTTGCCCATGGATGCGATCGTTGGTTTTTTGCTTTTATTTTTGGCGGGGGGATTGGAGTCAGATGTGTCTATGCGTTTTTATGTTTATTTATTTGTGTTTGGGGGTCAGGTCTTACAATCCAAAAGTTGCCAAGTTTACTGGGTTCCTTAGAGTACACCAACTGGGGCCTGCGAAATTGCCTTGCCAGCTGGTTTAGGGTTGGATCCCCTTGTAAATCAGGCAAGAGACACGTCCTCAAACCCGAGCAGCTGGAGGTTGGCAAAGGATCGTCCCCTTGCAATAAATGGGTGCAGCAACGCCGCCCTGTTAATTCTTCAAGCATGGCTCTCGGTAGACCGTTTTGATGTTTTGCTTCATATGTCATGAAGGCGGGGTTAATATTTAGGCTTGTTGTTGTAGGATATGAGATTCAGAATGCCTTGCCAAACCTTTTTTGGCAGGTGGGTGTCCCATTTTAGATTGGATCCCAGCCACTTTGTCGGGTGTTGCAGACTCCACGAAGCTCTTCCCAAAGTCCTGCTGAACCTGCAGGTGCCCTTGACAAGAGCTTGTCACTTGCTGCTGACCGCTGATGAAGGACCCCCCCACTTGTCTTTTTTGCGGGGGACCCCTGTGATGAAGAACTGGGGGGGGTTATTAATCAGGGTTCAACATTGGGACCCGCTGCTTTCAAAAGCCTCCTGCACAGCGAGTCCCAAATTTCAGAGGCACAATGTGATCACCGTTTTTTGGGTCCCATCCGGGCCTCAGCTCAGCCTTAGCTCCTTTTGGGATTGGGTAACATCTCCAGGCCGGCCAGACATGCCCCTCGGGGCAATTTGGTACGTGAAGTGTCTCTCCGTCAGTCGGCTTCCAAGATGATGATCAATGGGTCTGTGTTTCGTTTGGGCGTATGCGTTGTGGGCTGTTGTTTTTTCAAGGCTGCCGCCCTGTTTCGCCGACCCCAATAGGGAAATGGATCGTCTTTGATGCTTGTTAATCTGCCTTCTTCAGCTGATTCTTGTGATGAGGATCATGATGATGACGCGGCCATGTTGATGGTGTTGTTGGTGTGCCCTTCGCATCCCCATGACCAGCCAGGCTACAGAAGAAAACAAGGACAGCCTTTTTCACGAGCTTGCCTCACACGAAAACAGTATTAGTGTTTGTTCCCAGCATTTCCAGCAGTGCCCAACGTTACATCTGACATCTACCGGTGATATAAAGGCATATAAGAACATGTTGACGAGGATGATGATAGTTGCCTACTAGTATACGTTTCGGTAGTGGAGCCCGATGATGACGAGCTGATGATGATGCTGATGATGATGACGAAGACAGTGATCATAGCTACGCATCCCCAGTATCACCTAAACATATGATGATGTTGATGATGATGATGACGACGATGACAATGTAATGTGAGCCTGTCATAAGAAGACGCTCCCCTTCAGGGTGCGTCAAATATGGACACTCAGTTTCCGCTCCCTTGGGGCCTTGGAAGATCGGTTTGGGGATGTATGGTTTCCATGAAGTATATCCCAACAAGGGCCATATTTGTATGCCATGGTTGTACCCCATGTTCAAAGTATTGGGGCGCATGCATTGGGTTGGTTTTTTGGTGTCCTATTATTCGGTTTTTTGTTTTGTTTTTCAGTTCGCCTTGTTTTAAGCAAACAACACATTGGACGTTGCATTGTTGTTTGATAAGCCCCTTTAAACAAAAACAAGAACACACAACCACGCGCACACACACACACATACACTCCCTCAGACTAGCATGGAAGCTCGCAGAAGGCCTCTGTGAATGAAGCCAAGTCTTCTAAAGGGGTGTTGGGAGCTTCCATGGAATCGCCTGGGGGAGGGTATACACATACACCCAGCTCAAGAAAAAACGCCCGCCCGCAAGCAGACCACACCAGAAAGTCCTGTCCAGGCCTGCTGCGGCTTTCTGGGTTTGCGGGAGGCACGGCATAGCACAGCCGTTCGGCGATGGGTTCCGGGCCCCCACAACACTGGGTGGCTCGCGCGTCTTTTTTTTTCAACAAGGGAACGATGATTTGAGCCACGTCCGCAAAACGATTCGGGGAGATGATCCGGGTAAGGGGCAGTCCCAGCCAGAAATTGTTGCGGATATCCGCCTTCTTAATTCTTTACATGCATGGTTTTAAAATGGTCGACCATTTTTGTACCAGGTTTGGGATTATGACTCATTTGGGAGGGGGTGCACCAAGAACAGACACATCCATATCGCGCATGGCTTTCTTCACAAAGAATTGCGACACATTTCGTCAGCGCTATCACTGCTACAAGGCTGGCTGACGAGGGCTGTCACACAAAGTCCACGGTTAGTTTCAAGAGGGGAGGGACATAGGAATCCAGTACATTTCAATATATTTCAATCATTGCAAGCAGTCCGAGGCCCTTTATGGGTATCCAGCCTCTGATGACATTTGGTGTGTCCTGGGCAGCGGGTCTTTCAATTTCTCTCAAAGTCGGTTCGAGAGATCGAAATGATGGGCCTTCTGCAGAACACTCCTTTAAAGACTGGTTCCAGTGTTGAGATCCGAATCGCCATCCCTGAATCCCTGCATGCCTTTGGTCGCCTCCCGTGCTCCCTGCACCAGAAAAGGGTCTAAGTCTGAGACGACATTGGAGCATGGGCATGTCTTTTAGGGAGACCCTTCTTGGTTGGTTTTCAAGGAAGACCGAAAGCCGGGGGTTTGGGGGGGGAGGGGGGGGCTCCGATTCCTACAGCCGGACCCGCCGAACCTTCCTCCCAAGGCTTCGGGAGCCTTTGGTTTTCGGCAGGTGGTTTCCGACTGGAACAGGAACAGGGGAATCTTTCTCACCGCAAGAGAAGTGGACGCCCCAGATGGGAAAGCCTGTGGCTTCTCGACAAATTCCACGGCCTCCCTTGTTATCTAGATGGTAAATCCCCCAAAGACAATTCAAGCGACGTGGCGACAAATGTCAACACGGAACCACCAAAGTGGTGGACATCCCAAGGAAGATTTCAAGCAATCGGTGTTTAATTGGGCATGTCGGGTTTGTTTGTGGTTTTGACGCCACCCTGTTTGGGTTGCTTAGGGGCTCCCCACAACAAAAAAACACCATCATTTGTGGGCTTTGGGTTGCTTAGGGGATCCTTAAAAAACAACACATCATTTGTTGGGCTTTGGGTTGCTTACGGAATCCGGAAAAGCATCATTTGTTGGGTTCCCTTGACTCACACTCTGTGGGTTGGTTCGGATTCGGGTTTGACCCCAAACCAAGACAGGAGCCGATCTTTGCCAGGACGAAAGCGAACCGGGCCGAGCCGCGGCCCCGACAGACCGAGCTGTCTTTGGGCCTTTGGAGCGTACGGGTTTCCGGCGGTTTTGGGGGGCCGCAAAGTTTGTCTGGCTTTTCCTCTGTTATTTTTGAATTGGTATTCCTTCTGGTTTCCCTTTAATGCCACCAAAAAGGGGGTAGGGCACTAGCTTTAACAAAAACACACCCAATTGGGGGGGTCCGAATCAGTCCTTGATCCCAGACTTTTGGAGGTCCGAACTTGGGCAAGGGAACCCGCCAGTTGGGCTTATGGCCATGAGGCTTTCCCAGCTGACATGCAAATCTTTGGGTGGGGAAGGGATGAGTCCGAACGTATTGACCGCTGTTTTTTGCTTGGATGTTGGGACTTTAACTTTTTGCCAACTAATGGGTTTTCCACAAAACCAACAAAAGTTAAACTTTTGGCAGGGGAGCAGAAAGCAACCGAGTTCTGGTGTTCGACTCATGATGAAGGTGCCTCGAGTATGGTGAACGATCATGGCAAGCTGGGCCTCTTCAGCATGCACAAGGTTGTAAATGAATCGTGGTTATCGAAAATTGCGGGGTTGTCCTCTTGTTTCCCCATTCTTTTCAACCATCGTTCTTTTCAAAAATCGGCCCTTGGTTTCCGGAGGTTTTCTAGAAAGAAAGATCCCTGGAAAGAATGGAAATGGAAGGTAGCACTAGAAACATGAGAGACACCCAAATAGAAGCCGGTTGTGCCATACCAAGGTAGGCATAGAAGCTAGATGTGAGCTTTATCAAGTGGCCCCTGAGTTCGCTGGTTCGCTGGATGCCAAGGTCTTCCTTTGGGTTCCCTGAAGGAACTTATACTCTGCAGATTAGCATATAACCCACAAAAACCAGATGATTTTAGAGGAAGCTCCTTTTGGGGCAACTTTGTTGTTTAATTTGCAGGGATTTTTTCTCCTTTACTGCCCTTTTTATCAGGCAACCCTTATCCTTTTGTCAGGTAACCCTTAGTTGGTTTGGATTTGGATGTCTGAATTTGAAGCCCTGGCGTTGGTAGAGGGTACATGGGAAATCACAGCACCAAACCACCAAGAGGGAATCTGAATTCAGCTTCCCTTAAGCTTTGTTGTCGGTGCAAAGGCGGAGTCTTTCCCTGTAAAATGTGTGACTGGGCTGTTCAAATGAGATCCTTAATCCTTACCTTGGGTTACGCAAGGAGTCCCCTTTGTTGTGGTTGCACAATAACGATCATGGCACGTCGGATTGGCCAAGCCTCCATTTTAAACAGCCCGGTGTGACTTTCCCTCCTGCTCTCCTCAAACCCGTTTCCATTCACATTGCTTCTAAACGCTGCCAACTCGCCTCTTTCGGAGTGGTCATTCCCCATGGCCTCCCCCCGCCCCGCCCCAAAAGCCACGCCCAGACGCCGCGCGGCGAGTGCTTGCTCGCCGCGCGGCGAGCGCTCGCTCAGGCGGAGGCGAAGGCCAACTTTCGGGAGGCGACCAGCGTAGAGTGCGGCTGGACGCTGCACACCGTGAGCCGCCAGGAGGAGGCGCTCGGCGCTCCGCGCTGGAACCGGGGAACCGGGGAGCCAGCGAGGGCTTCGCGGCTTCGCTGCCCCCCCCCAAAAAAAAGGCAAGCTCAATGGGTGAGAGTTAGGGGGGGTGCTTTTTCTCCTTGGAAATCATGTGTCTATTACTCTCCAAGAATGCTCTCCAACAGATACAAATAGAATGGAGATAAAAGGGGATTATAAACCTAACATAAAAGCAAAGAAAAATACAAGATGAAGATAGATGAGTGAAGGAGATATAGCATGTGAATGGATTTCTTGTCAATCAACTTTCGTTATCTCGCTTCTTTTCCATTATAATCCTATCCTAGAATCGAGAGTATTTGGAATGTTAGGTAAGAAGAAATGCATTGTAGGGAAGGACTTGAAGGTAGGCAATCATCCATCATTTATTGTTCTTTTTCTTTATGTTTTCCTTCTTGTCTCATCACTCACCTTTCTTGTGGGAAAAACCAAAGGGAATCCACCATTATGGGGATCCAACCTTTAAAAAGGCACCCAAATGTCTGCCATGCAGTGGGCAACTGGGTCTGTGAAAGTGACTTGTTCGGAGGTTGATTCGGTGTCACGTGCCTTTGCTTCACTATTCTTGGTCCTTTGAAAGTGAGCCTTTAGATTTGCAGCTGGGAGGTTATCAACCGAATGATTTTCGTGCTGGGTCTGATGTCTTTGGATTTGAGTACGGAGATGTCGCCTCCCAAATGGGCCATTGAAGACCAGACTCAGCCGACATTGGTCACCGTGCAGCTGGGCATTTGTGCGACGTGGCCTCCTTTGAGGCTCCAAACAGTCACCTTGCTGGCCTGTCCCTTGGGGTGTCCCTTGGGGGTGATGTTGTCAGGGGAAATATAGGCGAGTTCTGTTCAAGGTTCCAAATTGGCCGTGCTCAATGTACCCGTAGGTGTCCTTTTTGGATTAGTTTGATTAGACATAGATGGGTTCCACTGGTTTAGATTGGTTTAGTTCCATTTGCCAGGGCCAGCTATTTTGCGGAAAGGACACCTATGCTGGGGGAGTTAAACTTTAAACAACCATTGCAAGCTTTCATGGGGGAACCATGACCATAGCCAGGATGTTTTTACGGCACACGAGCGAGAATCCTGGTGTCAGAGCGTGATTTTCTGGGTGGGGTTCCCTGAAATCGGAGTGGTGGGAGTCTTTCCCCTTCGTTTCGGTCACAGTTTTTGCCCCCAACCAAATCCTGAAATGGGCTGAGACAGAGCTCCCATTGAGCCAAGCGCACAGTGCCTGCACACTCTGACTGACACTCCGAAAGAGCCACACCGTTCCAGGAAGCCCCGACCATTCCGATAATTTGTCCATTTCAGTCCAATTGAGCACATGCTGGATCAGCACTGCGAAGGATTTCCTCAGACCGGGAGTGGCAGAGCCGACGCAAACTTCTGCTCACAGTATGGCATCGATGTAGAAGGCGCGACGCTATACCCGTGCGCACCTTGCGCGAGATATTCAGCAAGGGCGAAGTCACCCGGGTAACCGGGATGGGCGTCTGCACAGACTGACAGCCGCACCTACATGAAGACGCTGTGGGACAGTGTGCACTACATCACTTAAAGGTGGACGCGGCCTTGCCCAACATGAATTTTGGGATTGCAAGAATTGGATGCCTTCACATGGCTTGGGCACGGCCTCGCCTGGATCTTTAACCTTGGACTTGTTGGTTGAATGTGTTTGTGTTTTCCAACTGCCAGCAAGACTTGTTGAACCTTACCCCAACCAACTAGCATGTCTCCTGTACCCCTGCACTTGCAAGTAGCAGTTTTGGTGCATCGTCACATGGTTTCTCAAAATGGGAATTGCCTACGTGGCTGTTGGGTTTCCCTTTTGCTTTCCCTTGCACTCACCATTTAATTTCATGTTGGTTTTACATGGAAGCTATCGCTACTGGACACATTTTCCAATTGTTTCCAGGGGACGTATTGGCAAATGGGTGTGTGTTGTTAAGTGAAGCCCCCCAAAATGTTGTTCCTTTTACTCTCCTCTTAACACCAATCAACAAGGCTTTCCCTAAAACGGGCAGACCCAAATGGCCATGGGTCAAACATAGGGTAACCCCAACAATAGGTAGCCATGGTTTAATTTCGACCCTTATGTGCTCAGTAGGGAATGAAACGTTTTGGGATTCCCGAATAAAAAAAGCCACCAGTTGGATGGGTTTTTGGTGGGGTCAGACTCTATTTCTTAGGGCCCCTGCATCTCCTGCACAGATCGCAAGTATTTCTCATCAACCTCTGTTGATTAATAGGGGGGTGTTCCCCTCAAGTGATGATTCACCAATACTCAACTCAACCCAAATATATATTCATATGGGCAATATGATTCATATAATATGGTTCATATGGGGTCAAGACATGTTACCCAAATTTCCCCCTACCGCGAGCGCTCGCTCCCCGAAGCGAGCAGCGCAAGCAGCGCTCGCTCAGCTCGCGTCAGGTGCTGGACCGCCGTGCCGCGGTGCTGCAAAACGCGGCCTCCTCTGAGGCGATTCCGTCGCGCGGATTTGAATTTCGATTTGAATTCCGGGTTCCGGCCACTCCCCGGAACACCTCCAAAATCCACGGCACCAAGTGGAGGGAAGGTTCTTTGGGGCATTTTGCCAAGGGATGTTCGGACTTGAGAACTTTTAGCCAACTAATGGGGTTTCAGTATTAAACCACACAAAGTTAAAAGCTTGTAGGGGGAGCAGAAAGCAACCGAGTACGGATCGGACGCGGAGGGGTTTTGGGCGGTGGCCGATGAAAAAAAAACCGGTGCAAAAAGCGGTCTGCGGTTTCATTTTTGGGGCAAAAATGTTTCGTTTTTGAAGTTGGCTAGGAAAACAAGAGCAGTCCAGGTTGCTCATGAATCGGTTTTGAGAAGAGGTTTTGGGTGTTTGCTTTGGCCATTGTCGCGCAATAGGGTCTATGAATGAGTTGCCTAGGACATGAGAAACGTTTTTTGTTGGCCACTCGCTAGGCTCGCTCTCCACTTAGGGTTCCAATGCCTTGCCCGCGGAATCTGAGGGTCTCAAGCGTAAAGGAAGCCGCATGATAAATCCAAGCGCTTTAGGGAAAGCTCAGCTGCCCTGGGCGAAAAGCTTTGGAAGGCCCGATGGCCAAAAACAGCGTGAGCCACAATTAAAACCCGGGTGGATGACGGTTGGTAAGGGACAATCCCCTTGCCATAAATAGCTGCAGATATCCGCCTTCTAATTCCTATTTCATGGTTCCGAGAAGACCATTTTAGTACCGGGGTTTGATTATGACTCGCGTGTGTTCTCGTGCAGCCTTGCAGTAGTTCCGAGAGCACTCCGTTGCCCAGACCAATGGTAGTCTAGGTCCCCCAGCTAGGTGCCCTTTTTACCGTTTCTTTTTTTTGGGAGGGTTCCCCTACTAAAATGGACTACGGAAAAAGGGTACCCTTGTTCTATCCTCTCTACTGGAGGACCTAGTAGTAATCGTTGCACCGTTTCGAAATGACGTGCGTAGCAAGCCCTGAACGAATGTATCAGAATGGCTTGCACTCTAAGGGATTGTTCCCTTCACCTTCAGCAGTTTGCCACCAGTGGTATGGATTAGACATCGCAAAGCTGGATGCTAAAGCGGTTTATGAAGACCTCCAGTGACCTCCAGGCAAAAGTGGTGTCTGCTAGACGGAACCCAGCAGTTCAACGAAATGGTCAGGGTTTCTTCAAGGATGCTGGCTGCCAGTCAAATCCTACAAACACCTGCTGATTTAGATCTGAATCCCTATAGGTTGTTGGACGCATCCTTTGAGGCATCCTGACAAGATTGGGAAGGGATCGGGTACAGGGGGTTGGAGTATGGGAAGGGGCCGTGGTAAGTTTGGATAAGCCAATCAAAACGGGTAGATGAAGGTTAGTAACATTTTTTCGTCATTATTGAAGCATGGTTCTGGGTCCCGACCATTTTAATGCCGGTCGTTTTGATTATGACTCAGATGGGCGTGTCTTAAGATAGGATACGGACCCCTCAAACTGGCTGAATCAATTGTTTTCCTGTTGTTTGTTCCGTTAAAACCACCAAACAACCACTGGTACCTTTTTCCTCCCGAAGCTCCAAGGACCCGTTTGAAAGACTTGGTTCCATTTACGGAGGCCGATTGAGGGAGCTTCCATGTTAGCCTGAGGGAGTGTAACACTCGTTGGACCCATTGGGATCTCCCCCCTCATTAGAGTAAGGGTACCCGATCTTTTTTTTTTTTCTGTAGTTTATTTTAGTTAGGGGTTTCCCCTCCCCCAACCAAAGCGGTGAGAAAGGGCACCGATTGCTGGGGGACCCCTTGGACCTGTTGGGGGGACCCGTTGGGATCTCTCCCCTCGAAACCCCGCGGCTGCGGCGCTTCGATCGCCAGGTCCTGGCGTCGGATCTCTCGCGCCTGGTCTTGGAGCCAAAGTCGGGAGGCTGGAAACAAGGGGGACCAACCCCCAGCGCACCAAAGCTAGGTCACCCACTTGTTTTTGGTGGGGAGGGTTCCCCTACAAAAATTACTACAGAAAAAAGGGTACCCTTATTCTATCCTCTCTACTGCAGGACACAATCCCCACCAAAGGGTCCCCCAGCAATCGGTGCCCGTTTGGTACAACGGAGGGAGGGGCTCGAAAAAGCGAAAGCTGCCGCTTTTTTCGGGCGATGAGGTTGAGGCGCCCTTTTACCGTTTCCTTTTTGGCTGGGATAAAATAGACAGGAAAAACCATCGGGTACCAACTTATTCTAACGACAATCTCAGTCCCAGCAATCGGTGCCCATTTGGTGCACGGTGGGAGGGAGCCGAAGCGGGGCCACAAGCGGCCGCTCGCCGCTCTTCTCGGGTGGTGAGGGTTTGGGCTTTGTTTGGGCTAGCCCCAGCTAGGTGCCCGTTCTCACCCCTTTTTTGGGGAAGGATGCCCGGAGTCTTTGGATGCGATGTTCTTGCTTTGGTTTCCCTGCATTCCCAATTTCTACCCGTTTTTGTCTTTGCGGCTTGGCTACGTCCATGTCAGGGGCCCAAGGATGTTTTCGCATTTTACATAAGACAGCAGAAAAAAATCGGGTACCCTTATTCTAACCTCTCCACTGGAGGGCCAATACCAAAAGGTCCCTAAGAAAGAATCAGACCCATATTGGATTCCCTATTTCCACCATAAGTTTGCTGTCCATGTCAGGCGGCCCAAGGACTTTTTTCGCGTTTTACATGTTTGGGTGGGTGTGTTCTTGGCTAGCCATCCGCTTCAGCATTCTGCTATCGTTTTGGCCAGCACCTAATTTTAAAACAATACCCTAGTACTCGGTTGGTTTTCTGGACAAGGGAAGTTGCAATGGGCGTCTTAAGAAGTTCTGTTGGAAGGTCCCATTTCCCGTTTCTTTGTTCACTGCCGTTGCCACAGCGTTGAGGATCTTTTCACTGGGTTTGGTGGTGGGGTTTCCAGGGAGGCCCTGAGCCCAGGTCAGGCGGATTTATTGGCCGTCTTTTCTTTAGCGAGCGAGCTCACCGATGAGAGGGGGGGGGGAAAGGGGGGTAGAACGAGCGAAAGCCGTGATAAAGGTGCGTTACTCGGGGATCGAATTCTTCATTCAGCTTTTGGAAGTATCGCAAAAACAAAAGGAAACCAGATTTGCGGATTTGGCTCCATTTGCTTTGCCCAAGTTTTAGCTTAGTTCATTTCCCTGAAAACATATGGATTGGTCACTAATTTGTTTTCTTATTGCCCCAATTGTGTTATATGTTGTGCTGTATTTGTACCTGTTCACAAGCATATTATGGATTTGTAGCAATTTGGCCCAAGTTTTGGCGTAGTTTATCTACCGGAAAACATATGGAGTGGTCAAATCTATCCCAATTATATGTTTAGGTGATCTTTTCAGGATTCATTTCTCGGAAAAGTTATATACACAAAACATGTATGCTGTATTTGTTGTCGTTATGTCGTCAAGTCGTCAAGGCAGATGGCTCTAACCCAACCGTTGGCCCTGGTATCTACCTTGAACCAATGCCGGTTGGAGGTTGGATCTATTTGTGGCTCTAACTTCAACTTGGGATTAATTCGGACCCTGCTAATCAAGGAAAGCCCCTATGGGTGTGTCTCTTCTTAGGGGACCCGCGCCAACAAAAAAAGCAACAGGTTTCCCTTCAAAACTACCAAAAAGGGGGTCCCGCAAAAACAGACACATCCCAGTAGATCCACGCAGGTATTGTTTGCTAGATTTACCCACACTCAAATTCGCCAAATGTGACACATCGCCATGCCTCAGGGTTTGGGTTGAACTTGTTCTGGTTTCAGCGTGGCTCTTGGGTTCGTCTTTTGGGGGAATCTTTTGGTTGGTTGGTTGGTTGGTTGATTGGTGAACGGCATTCCTGTTAGGGAACACCATTCAGCCATTTTTGCGGCTCCCCCGAGAAAAAGAGAGACCCCCAACGGTCGGGTTTTCCCAATCCCCAGGTCCCTACCTTCGGGGCTGGGGCTCCTGATGCGGAAAACCCTCCCACCCGTTTCACCAAGCTGACGTTCCGGGGGACCCGGGTCCCAAAGGGAAGTTTGGTCCAAACCACCCCGAGAATGGTTTCGTGTGAGGGGGCAAGGTTCCCTAAAAGTACGCCGCGTGAAGCCAAGCTCCAGCCTGGTCCTTTACGAAGTGCCCAATGCCTTAGGTGCCTTTAAGGCTCATGACCCTGCCAAGGGCCCGTGAAAACAACACCATGTCAGGGTGGGAGCCAATCATCGGGAGCCCATCAGGTTTGTGGAATGAAAGTTGGAGATGAAATAAAAGTTGTGTCCTTAAATATGGAATTGGGGGAGGGGGCATTTTGAATTTCTAGAGATCTCCCTTTGTGGTGAGCTATCTTTCTCTCCAAAACAGATCAGATCAATGGTACCGCCTCCTTGGGATAAAATATGCGACATATCTTCAGGGTTTGTTTTAGAATTGGCGAAGCCCGAACATCATGGGTTTCCTTTTGGTTTCCCTGAAAACCAAAAGGAGTTTTTGCAAAGAAGATGCCAGGCCCAACTCCGATCTTCTGATCTTCCGTGCGAGTTGTGCCAAAAAGGCTGGTGATCCGCAGGGAATGAGACATGAAATGCCCCCTATAAACCATCCAACTGGTGGTTCCCGCCAGGGGGATTTTTCGGGTCCATCCCATGTCTTCTTCCCTGGCCACCGCACCGACCGCACGGATCGCAAGCCGCCCTCTGCTCGGCCAGATCCGCCTCCTCAGCATCAGATTGCCCTGGAGCGCGCCTTGGAGGCGGAGAGCTCGGGGATACTCGGAGCGGATGTTCGGGGCTCGACCAAAAGCCGGGGAAACGAGCGAACGCTGCAGGGTCTTTACTAACTTACTTGGGTTCTCAACGTAGTGGGGGGCGTTGAACCGTTTCTTTACTACTTCCTTACTTGGATTCTCAAAGTATAGTCAACTTTCCTCTTTTTTTTTCTTAAGGGGGGGAGGTTGAAAGGGGACAGTACAGCGGAAGAATCTGCTTGGGGGCTCTATTGGAGAAACGCGGCCCCGGCCCCCTCTTGGGGATCCGATGATCTCTCTTTCCGGTTCCAGATGTCTCAAAAGTGGGGGGTTTCCTGGGCAGTTTCCTTGGAGTTCCAGGGCCCTTTCTTCGGGAAGGAATCAGCGTGGCATCCGCTGCAATCTTTTCAGGCCCAAGATTAAAAGGGGGGGGGGGGGAACCGGGACGACCGGAAGACAGTACTCAGGAGAGGCAAACTGAAGGCCGCCGTTTTACGCCGTTTTTGGCCCTCAAATATCTCTGCAAGCTTCTGCTGGGCAACTAAGATGCTGCAGGAAATGCTGGATGGAAAGGCCAACGGTCCTGACACAGCACAGACACTGCTCCCAGCACACCGCTCCTAGCTGGCTACTTACCCTAAGGATCTGGACGATGTTGTAAGGGCCAAAGCAAAAGGGCTGGCATTTTTTCCACCTAAGGCCTAAAGGGTGAAACTTTCATTCAGACCCTTCAAGTCAGAATTTCAGGGGTCCTGACACCAAGAACTTGATCAACTTCAGGGAAAATCCAACCTCTGAATGCGCAGACAGGGCGGCGTCCAGAAGGTGCATATCCCGACGGCTAGTGTTTATGCAACCATGCCATGATTGTCTAGGATTTCAGGTGGTTTTCCAAAACGCAGGCCGGCACCATGGCGTCCGCTACTGTTTGTTTCGAGGATGCCCAACATGGGTATGGGTCAAGATTAAACCACCAGGGACCGCAGGTTTTAGTCCATGACCAGGGTTCCATTTGGGGTTACCCTGTTTTTGACCCACAGCCATGGATTTCCGTTTGGTTTGCCAAAAAAGACCCCCCCCCCTATGTCCTTCCCGGGGTGAGGTGATCCTCCGAGGTGGTTTTGATTGGTGGTTTAGAGGGTACAGTACAAAGTCAAAAAAGCCAAGGTTTGTTGCTGCCCTCTAGAAAACTTTGGTGCATTTTGCTTGGCTGTTAGGACTTTAACTTTTTGCCAACTAGTGGGTTTTCCACTAAACCACTAAAAGTTAAACTTTTAGCAGGGGAGCAGAAAGCAACCGAGTAAATTTTGATTCGTAGTGTTGACCCCGGATGAATAGGAGGTTGCCTCCAAAAGTGGTCTGAATCCCGACTAAAAGGGGACACCCGCCCTATAGTCAGCCAGGGGTTCACGAATCCGGGGTCGACATCGCCACAAATGGAGGGAACTGTCTCAAACTGATTGGACCCTTCCGGCTTCCGATTGAACTGGAAGCCAAAACGGGGCTCCCAGAAACTTCCATTTTGCGAATAAGCCCCCTTTCAGAGAATGGGGAAGATATGTTCAGTAGTGAAATCGATTCCCTTTAAAACCAACAACGGAACATATGTTTTAAACTTTTCAGCAAATGGAGGAAACAAACGTACACCTGAGCAAAGGTCGCCAAGGAGTGTCTTAAGCTGTACCTCCATAGCACCTTCCGGATCTGGCGTCGCATTCACAGCGCCTGATTGGGCTGCGGTCACAACCCCAGAAAAAAGTGGTTTCGTTTTGCATGTCCTTGACAGCTCCAACAGGAGAAACCACCCTTCAAACCACCAAAGCTGATTAAACCGCGGTGTGATCTTCGCGTTCCTTTGCTGTGTTTGCCTCTCTGCCAGGCAGAAACGCCCTGGCCGAAGCAGCGTGTGCGCATGGGCGACACCGTGCACCCCGGAAGTATCCGGAGTGCCGCCGCGTCGAATGCGGCGAGTCGCGAGTCGGGGCTGGTGAAGCGGGCTGAAGGGTTAAAACCCAGCAAAACCCCCTGGGGAACATCAAAGTAGGCGGCAAATGGATGTTCATCCACCCCAAAATGGGATCGCCATCGGTTATGTAACCGGTGGCCAACTGTGAATTGCTGTGTGATGGAAATGAATGCAGATAATGAATTGAATTTGAACTGCAAGTTGTTGCGATGTTGCAAACAAAATGCAATTATTTGCTGTGAAGTCCAATTGAAGTACTGTGAAAAGGAAGTTATTGTGAACTGTATACAGCATTTTGCTAGCCAGGACGGCAAAAAAAAAAGCATCAGAAAATAAAACAACCAAAGTCCCAAATTACATCTCGACCCTAAAACAATTCTGACGGCACATGTCACAGAATCCGTGTTCTTTTCGGAACAAAGGGGAGCACCCCACAAGCGGACTGGGTTGCACGCTGGCTCCGGAAAAAGAGGTGTCTAAGGATTCCAGATGGAAGATATTCACTTTCGGTGTGTGGGAATACACAAAAGGCCGAGGCTCATTTTTCGAGGTCACCATACCCCCCACACCACTGTGCTTGTGGGGTGTTCCCCCTTACCGACCCCCCTCCATAGGCCTAGCCAAGCCCTGCCGGCTGCCGACCCCCCTTCCATAGGCCCAGCAAGGTCTACCGACCACAGGCCTAAGGCCTCGACCAAGGCCCAGCCCCCCTAAGCCACGGCCGAACCTTCGCAGCCGTACGTGGGGAACCTATTGGAAGAGAAGTGAGATGCGCGTCTCTCCCCTTTTCTTACCTCTTAAAAACACAACTTTTCAGCTTTTTGGGTAACATGGGCTATATGTTTGTAAAAGACTAACTTCCCCAGGGCTTGGAGTTTTAAGGGGTAAGTTTTAGGGGCAAACAAACAGGTCGGACTTTTTTGGCCAATCCGCTCAGGAAGTGATGCAAATCAGGGCCCGTGCCGCTGGTTTGGTTGAAGTTTCGAGCACGTTTTTTTGGTTTCAAGAGCATTGGTGCGCACTTCGGATTTCGTTGCCATGTTGACAGTCCGAATTTCCTGAGCTCTTGAACTTAGTTCATGTCCCGCTCGAAGTTGGCCAAAATGCGAACCATTACTATAGAGTTGCTCGCGGGGGAAGCTTCATAGGCTTTCCTTTTAGAAGAAAGTAGCCTCCTGTCCGCGGTGACATAAAACCTGCCAACGCGTCCCTTTGAAATGAGAATCCTCCAAACCAGCTGAATGGGAGGGTAACCAGTTGCAACTTGTTGGCCACCCCACAAGATATACACCTCACTGCGTGAATTGGCCAAAAAGCGCTTGAACTTTGTATTTACCACTATCATGGTCTTTCCAAAAAGTTTAAAGTCCAGGAACTCAGGAAGTGAGACACCCTGTCTACAGTGTCTACACATCAACCTTTGCAGCATTGTGTGTCGGCACCTGTTCGCTGGCTTTCGACGCAAGCTGAGGTATGTGAGGCTCAACGACCAGTACCTGGCCTCAAAGAAGTCCGGGGCGAACCTCGGGAATCGCCAGCCCTGGATCGTGTGCCCCTACGCCTCCAAGGAGAAGGCCAGCGGTTTGACAGGGCTCCTTAAAAGATACATTTTGCACATTTGAAACATGGTGTTTTCCACCCAAGTAAAGGGACACCACCATTTACAAAGCAATGTTCAGGTGTATAATGTAAGGATCCCTGTTTGACTCACTCGACGGAACATCCTTCCTTTCTCTTGCTGGTGCTGAGTAGGGAATCGGAAATGGAACGACCCTGGGGGTCCCCTTAAAGGAAACCACAGGATAGACTACAGGAAAAAGGTTACCCTTGTTCTAACCTCTCTACTGGAGGACCTAGTTGCTGGTGCTCAGTGGGGAATGAGAAATGGAATGAGACCCTGGAACTCCCCTTAAAGGAAACCACCAGTTGGAGGGTTTATAAGGGTCATTCCCTCTGGACTGATACCAGAGGCTAGGTATGGCAGAGGTCCAGGTGAATTTGATGGCTGTTTGGCAACGGATCTGTGGACTTTAAACCCTTTTGGTTGAAACAGGTCGGATTTTCATTGGACCCACACCAAGTTCATCTTCTTGCAGAGGGTCAACAGCAACCAATGTTCTTCCATTGCATCTCAGAAGAACTTGGCTATTCAGTTGAACAGGCAACCTCAAAAGTGGCTGGGCGGACATGAATCCATACAGAATGTGGATGTCCACCAAAAGGTGTCTTACCCAAAGTGTTTGATGTCTAGTCAAGTTATCACCCACATGTTATCCCAAAAAACAGGGGCAGGACCCTGCAAATCTCGCATATTTTGTATATTCGGGGGAAGCATTTGGAATAGCTGGCTTAGGGAGTCTCTTACTGCGGTTTGGAGGAAAGCCACCCCCGTTATCAGAACCCCCCGAAATGCATAGCTTATAGCCCCCAACCCTGGAGGTCTCTCTGGCCGACCCATAGCTGGATGTTGTTTTTTAGGGGGAATGATGCTGTGGGTGGATGAAATCCAGTTCGCACCACTTTGAAACCATGGGAAGCCATTGTTTGTTGGTAGTTACGGGGAAGAATCATACCAGGGTTTCCCAGGTGGTGCGAAATGGACTTCGCAACCATCCACAGTACCCGAGAACAGCAGGGCCGTGTTCGAGGAAGAGTTTCAAAGGAGAACCACTCCCAAGGTCCCCCAGTGCCCTTTTGCCCCCTTGGGGGGAGATTCGGTTCCTACTAAAAATAGACCACCGAAAAAGAAAACTGGAAAAACCATCGGGGACCAACTTCTAACCTCGAGGGAGTTGGTAAGGCGATTCTTTTAAGATTTCCCACGCCAGGGGCCTAAAGCTTTGCTTCCAAGTGGCGAACAGGCTTCCAGGGGGCCGTTTTCGAGGAATATGTTTTATTTTATGTTTAAAAAAAAACAAAAAACAATGTTTGCAGTTTTTCAGAGTTTGCCTGTTTCCGAGGGTCATAAACCTAGACTCCAGTCCAGAGCTTCTCGCCTGGCGTGGCCAGGCGAAAGAGAAGGCGGCAGCTCGGCTGTGTGACAGTTGACTCTCCAACTGTCAAGTGGCCCCCTGCAAAAATTGGGGCCCCAAGTGGGAGTCACCGCACTTCCTGAGTTCATGAACTTTAAAAACTGTTTGAGTTTGGACCATTTTAGTGGGAAGTATAAAGTCTTTGTTGTTTGGGCCATCCGCTCAGCAAGTGAGTCACTTACAAAGCATTTGATAGCCATGGGGAGGTGGTCGCATTTGGTCACATTTGGGCACGATTGTGGGACATGTCAAGAAGGATGTGGTAGTCTTGTACAATTGGAAAATGTGGTGACAAAGGTAGCATTTGGTCACGTCCATCCATGTTTGAGGGCACCCTTCTTGACCTCGTTGGGTGATCATGTTTGTGGAAGATGGTTTGTTTGTGGCTGCAACTTCCGTGACGTGGCTGGGAATTTTTGTTTAGGGATAAAGCAGTCATGGGAATGGTACTCCAACCAAACAGTGCAGAGAGGGGCATCTGTGGTCAGCACAGGCCCCATGCGGGTCATTGAGTAAGTCGCAATATTATCTTACATATATTTTTTGGTCCCTTGCAAACTAGCATGGTTTTCCAACAAGGATCCCTCCAAAAAAGAGATTCCCCTGCCGTCAATCTGCCGGGGTAGCTGCCTGGTGTTCGGTTCCAGGCGCCCGCCTGCAACCAAACCAGTTTCCCATGTCCGGAACGAGCAGTATTCATGACACAACTGCGCGCGCCTTTTCTTTGGGAACTTTGGGTTTTTTGTTGGGTTGTTTCAAGGCAAGGGGAAGGCCGAAGCTTTTTTGTTTGTTTTGGGCCCTAAAGTTTGACTCCCTAAAGTTTGAACCCTCCAGCTACATGGCAATTTCTGTTCCTAGGGCCCCAACCGAGGCCAAGGGGATTGCCCTGTGCCCCAAGCAATTCAGCGCGCATTTTGGGGACGGTCTCCCTGCCCATAGGGCTTCTCCTTTGTTTGGGAAGGGCTTCCCTTGGAATCAACCAAACACTTGCTGGTGCGATAGGGAATGACCCTCCGGGTTTTGGGGAAGGAACCTTTTTGGGATTCCCTGAAACCAACTTGGCGATGTTGTTGTTTTGTTTTTTTTTGGCGGGGGGTTATTCCATTTCTCGTTCCCTGCCTATGGAGCCAACAAGAAAAAGGCGCCCCCTTCTTCATTTTTTGGTGGCCACTGAGAACTCTGCGACTCGACAGTCCGCGATTACAGAAAGCCTTGAACCAGTTAAGTGGAAAGTGAAGACGGGTCGAGGGGCACTGGGTGTCACAATGGCGGGGACCCCTGAAGTGACCCCTTAAGTATCGGTATCTTTTTTTTTTAAGGGCACCTTTTTGTTTGGTTGTTTTTTGAGGGGAAACCAAGAGGAAGACCATGATTCCCAACAACAACAATCAGGTACCAAGAATTCTAGCCTCTCTAGTGGAGGACCCAGCGCCGAGCTCCTTAACCGTTCTCAGGCAAGCGCCTTCAAGCGCATGGGACTGGAGGATGGGGACGCCATTTGCCTCATGGCCGCTGTGCCAAAATTTACTGGGCTGGGGGACCATGAAAGAGTTCTCGAAATGGTTTTCCCAGAAAGAACCACCATGTTTGGTCCATGTAAAATGATTGATTCCCCAAGAACCACTATTTTTGGTCGATTTAAGAAAGAGGGGTACTCACTACGCTACTATTAATTTGAGTCGGCTGGCGCGGACTGGGCGGGGGCTGGGTCGGAGACCATTTCAGGGTGCTCTCGCTTCTTTTTTTGAATGGGTGCCCCTTTTTTGGTGGAAGGGACGCCAAAAGGAAAACATCCGGTGTTTTTTGTGAGCCCCCCCCCAAAAAAAAAGCCACACCCTTCTGAGTTCTCCAAATGGCTGTTTCCCTTTGAACGGGGAACCGTTGAACCACCATTCAGGTTTGGAGGCGGCACCTCAAAGGAACGGCTTCCATTCTGTTCTTACCCAAGCATCGCGTGTCAGCCGTTTTTTTTTTTTTTTCAGGAATTCCCGGCAAGTATTTGGTTCGCCGCTCTTGGCAAGTGGCTCACAGTTGTTTGAGTTTGGGCCTTTGGTGTATCATGTTCAAGAGCAGGATTGCTCTCTTTTGGCTATCATGCCATGGGGTCTTGAGAAGGTAGGACTCAAATGTGTGGCGTCCTACAGACCTCCATGTGAGGTGTGGTTGCTGTTTGGAACTCAACCGGATCCTATTGACAGGCAGCAACGGGACGAGTTTCTGCATGTTAAGTTGCAACGGAGCAAGATCAGAAGCCAAATAACTACCAACAGAGTACTCATGATCAAGACGAAACTTGGTTTGACAGTACCCCACAACCCCATTCTGGTCATTTAGTGCCAACTTAGGTATCCCTCCAGAGGAGTGTTCTTTTCACTGCAAGTGATTTGTTTGTTGTGTCAACATCACCCAGCAGGTTCCCCTCAATGGGTGGTTTGGATTGCTGGTTCTGGAAGTTTGAGGCCCCTTCTGGAGGGTACATAGGATCCTCCACACCAGCCATCCGAATCCAACCCCCCAATGAGAGGGAGGCTGAACCCAGTTTGGCCTTTCTAAAGTTCCCGGCGAAAAGGGAAATTCACATCTCCTTGTTTCTGGTGGGCATTTGGCACCAAATGACCATGGGTAACTTTCCCATTTCGTGGTTGACATATCAGCTTGGTGATCTCCCAACCAATGGTCATTCCATGTTCATGGGCACATTTTGATGTACCAAACATACAGAGGGAAGAACATGTCCTTGTTTTTTGGTGGGTATTCGGGCAACCCATGTCCTGTGCAGTTTCCTGGTTCGCTGGTTTCTTGTCGCTTGGAAGCCTCGCATTTGGCTCAGGGCGAAGACGGGTGCTACCTGGGCATCGGCGGGAAGGAGGACGTGGGAATTTTGGGGGTCGGAAGTGGGAGAAGTCAATACCTCTTTCAGCCTTCCGGTTCCTTAGCCTTTCAGCTTTTTTCTCGGTGTCTAACTCGGCTGCTGTTGGGGCTACGGATCTTGAGACTTTAACTTTTTGGTGGAAAAGAACGGGGTTTTCCACCAAACCCCCAAAAAGTTAAGCTTTTTGCAGAGGGGTCGTTGCAGCAACCAAGTCTAGTGGGATGTCCATTTAAGCCACTAAACGTTAAACTTTTCGCGGGGGAAATCTGAGGACAGCCCAGGGACGTAGAAACCACTTGCCAACTATCAGTTTCCGTAGCTGTCTACCTTCTTTCTGCTATCAAGCAAACATGTGCTTGATAGCAAAAAGGAGGTAAACCACGGAGGAGGAGTTTCATAGAGTCAATCCTGCAGGTCTGCACGTGCAGCTTACGTTATCACCGCAGCTAGAGCTCCTTTTCTGGGCTTTCGGTATGCAGTGTTTTTGCTGGGGACGGATTCATCACTTTGGGAGGGAACACCCTGTAATAGGACACGGGTGTATCAATCCGGGGGTCAACATTTCCCTTGTCACTCAGTTCCGACCGCGAGCCACCCCAAACTTAAAAACTGGCCTCAAGGGCCTGTGGGGTGGGTGGATGGGCTTGAGGGGGTGAAGTGGGAGTCGGGGGATTGATCCTACGACCAGCCCTGGGATTGCCTGCGCTCGCTGGCAAGGACTGGCTTGCCAAGACCGCGGAGGACAGGGTTGCTGGGTTGCTCGCAGTCGACATGCGACTTGGGAAAATGGAAAGCATGAACCGCATGGCTTGTTGACCTATCGACCTTTCGAGCCATCACTGCGCCTACCCAGAAGCTTCGGTACAACCAAGCAATACAGAGACTCGGTACATGCGGGGTCAATCAGCAGTCGATAGGGGCAATGACAGGTAAGTGTTATGTTTCTTCTTTGGGGTTTGGCCTTTATTTGGTAGACTTGAGGACAAGAAATGGGGATTATGTCAGAATTGCGGTTATGGGGCATACGAGCTATCAGAATTGCGGTTATGGGGCATACGAGCTATTCAAGACATAAGTATATACACACACATGTACGCGTATTCAGGCAGTCTGCCACATAGTTTGAACCCTAGACTAGGGGTAGGTGAAAGTGGTTGCCAGTTTGTTTCCCCGTTTTTTTAACAAAGTCCCTTCCGTGCTTGTGGAAATCTCGCTTGGTGCCATGTTTTGTGATTAATTTGGACTTCTCTTTATTAAAGTAGTCACCAAATTGCTTATCACCAAATTGCTTAATCTCACCATGCCAGGTTACTATTCCTTCCAGACGCCTATGTCTAAGCCCGCGGTTTCTATGCAGTCCAGCTATACTTCCCGTTTCCAGGGTGGGTAAGCTAACTTGTTTGGACCAGCGATTATCCAACTTGGGATCTTATATGTGATGTTTGTCTCACTTCTTGAGTTCCAGGACTTTAGTCACTTTTTGAGAAGGCCGTTTTAGTGGTAAACTTTCAAACACTGAATGACTTTGTTTGGGCCATCCACTCAAGTGAGTATAGGTGCATGGTTTGTTTAGGTTTCCGCCCTCAAAACACAAAACAAATCCGGCCCATTTGTTCCAAGAAACAAAACAACAGAAGATATTATACTCATAGGTTTGCCCTCCCAAAAACACACAAACAAAAGCAACAAGTTTGTGTCAACCAATTCCTTCAAGTTTTTTTTTTTTTTTTTTTTTTTTAAGAAGCAAATTTGTTTCTATCAATCCCTTCAAGTTTTTTTTTTGTCAAGAAAGCACACGACCCATTTGTTTCAATCACTCCTTTCAACTTTAAAAAACACAAACACACAAAAGAACAAAAACAACAACACTTGGTTCATCCCTTGGAGGACATCCGCAAGTTCACTCGCGGCGAGGTGCTGCAATGGTCTGAGGCGGCCACTCCGGCGGAAAGAGAAAAACCAACTCCGGGCGGTGAGAGGCGGTGGCCGGGGGACGTGGGGAGTAAGCGCTGGGTTTGGCGGCTCCACATGTGTTTTTTGACCAAGTCCCTTCCGTGCTTGTGGAAATCTGCGTGCCATGTTGTGTGATTATTTTGGACTTCTCTTTAAAGTACTTTGGTGCATTTTGCCAAGGGCTGTTGGGACTGAACGACTTTTTGCCAACTCATTGGGTTTTCCACTAAAAAACCCACTGAAAGTTATTCACTTTTGGCGGGGCGAAGCGCAGATTTCGCGCAACCGCTGGGCTGATGTAGCTGACGTCGGAGGCTCTTGGAAGGCGATCTTTCTCGCAACTTGGCTCCCAGCCATCGGCGTCAACTTCGCTTTTTAGGGTTTTTTGGTGTTGAGTGGTGGAATCTCCATTCAGCTTCTTGGGTTTTTGGTGTTTTTAGTGGTAGAGTTTCCGAAGTTCACCCACTAAGAGTCAAACTCACTTTAGCGGGGGATCTGAGGGCAGCCCAGATGCTGATTATTTTGGATGGGGACAAAAGTTCAGCGAAGCCCAAAATGGGGTGTATATTTGTTTCAATCCGCCAAAAACCTGAGAAAACTATCATTTTCCCCGACCATTGAAGAATCCATCTCCGCCTGTTCCCTCCTTTTTGGAGGCGCCCCAAACCAATTTTAAGCAGGCTCGGTCAGAATTTGTTCAGACAAACCCCTGGTCCAGAAACCGAGGAGGTTTTTTGAACAGTTTGGTCTGGTTCATGTTTCACAGGGTCGAATCACCCTCCTTCTTTCGGCCCCAGCTGCTGTGTGTGTTTCCGCCGTTTCGGCGGCTCGACGTTCCGATTCCGAGGCGCTGGAAAACTTCGAGGACTCCGACGCGCAGCTGCTGGTCTCGCTGCTCTCCAAGCGCTCCGCGGCCCTCCTGAGACGACATCGAGTCATCGGTCGATGGGTCAGCGGGCGAGGGGTGGCAAAAAGCGATCCGGTTCCTTTGACTTCTGGTTGAAATTCGGTGGCTTTCGGCGGATTTTGTGTTTTTGTTTGGTTGAGCTGTTTTTGTTTGGTTTGTGATTTTGGTTGTGCTTGGTTGGTTTTGTGTGGTTGATGTAGTGGTTGGGTTTCCGAAATTCACCCAAAGGTGAGTTTTTTGGGCAGGGGATCTGCTCAGATGGCCCAGCATAAAGGCTGGCCATTGTTTTGTGCCTTCAAAGGCTTTGTCCTTGGACAGGTTTTTTGGAATAGGTCAGATTCGTCAAAGGGTGTTTTCTGGCCTGTTTTTCTTAGAAGTCGAAGCCTTTTTTTTGCGGGGGGGGGGGGGGGCTGAAAACAAAGACCCGTTGAAATTGTCTCAACATGGTGTACCTTGGGTTGGTATTCGCGGGGAAGCCACTTGAGAATGAAAGCCAGAAGGACACCCTACCTGGAACCGGTTCCTGTTTTGAGTGTCCCCCCAAAATGAGTAGGTATCACCGAGATTGTGGGGTTAGATACAATTGAATATATTGTATCCGCGATATCCAACCGGTCTCGCTACAGGCACACCGCTTGGATACATACATGCGGCTATGGGCACTTCTCTGACAGGGGCAACCATGACGGAACAAACGCATTTGTTCCTTCGTTTTTGTTGTTTGTAGACCTCCCTTCAAAACAACGCGGTCTGGCCAATGAATTCTGCATGTCAACAGCATTGGTTAAGATGGGCTCTGCATTTTCACTCGCATTGCACGCTCAAGTGCGCCCACTCAGCTCTGCATGTGTCCGCTCAAGTGCACCCGCTCAGCTCCTCTGCATTTGTGCCTGCGAAATGGTAAGAACCAGCTGTTAAATGAAGGCTTCGAAGAAGGCCTTTCTTCCCTGAAATCGATCTGCGGGTACCTCTCCTATCCCACCAGCAAGGTAGAGGACCGCTCAAAGCGAAGGTTTTTTTTCCAGGAACGAGCACTCACTCAAGTTCGCACGAAACCTCTACGGGCCTCACAAGTGGCATTTCCTGAGGTCAAAACAAATCATACAAGGTTTCAAAAGATCTCATTTCCTGAGAGTAAAACAAACTCGGCTCCCGCGATCGCCGATTCGGTTCCGCCGCTTCAATTCGCCGAGGCCAGCGGTGCCACGCTGCGGGAGTGCCTCAAGGGCCTGGGCGACCTGCCAGGCGCAGCGGGCGGCACCCTGCGGGCAGGTTTGAGTCGCTTTGGAGGCGTTTGAGGCGGCCCAAAAACGCCAGACACGTGGGACATGTCCGGAGGTTTGCGTTTCTTTTTGGCCAGACACTTGGGACACATCCTGTTTTTTGTTGGTTTTTTGGCCAGAAACTTGGGAGACGTCCTAATTTGTTTTTGGTTTTTGCAACTGAGCGCTTCCTGACTCTTGTTGGGTTTTTGGGGAGCCCAAGACCCAGAATATGGTGCTTGTACTTTTGACTGCAAAAGCCCTAGGTTTATTTATTGCAATCCCAAGAAGAAGTCCATAGCGAAGTTCTTCCCCTTTAAAACCGGGAACCAAAAGCCCCAAAAGCCTCCAGCCCGAGAGTTGCGGATGTCCCATGTGCGCGTTGCGTGACGGAACGATATGTTGGTTATTGTTGTTGTTTGTGTCTTCAGGACATCCAGGACACCCAACTAACGTGGGGGAAGCACTGGGTGCAGCGGAATCTTCTTGGTATGTTTGGTTGTGTGTGTGTGTGTGTATGTGTCTGCTTAGTCATGTTTTAAGGAAATTGTCTTGTTTGTTGTGTATTGTGATTAGCCATGCATTTCAGGTGACTACCGGCATGTTGCGATAGCAACTATCCGGTGCCACTTTGGCTCAAGTTTGCGGGTCCGTCGCGCCTCGGATGAGCGTCGCCGGGTCCCCGCGTCGATCACCTTCGTGTCGGTGGAGAAAGAGACATCGGCCCGGGGCAGATTGGTGGGGTCCGCCCGTGCGGTTCATCGTCGATCAAGGTTGCGGGTACTTGTTTACTTGTTTTGGTATTTTCCCTTTTGGTTGTTGTTCTCTGGTGTGTGGGAAACCCTGATCTTTGGGACCGGGGATTGGTTTGCTTTTGGGGAACCTTTCTTTTGTGGCTTGTTTACCCCAACTTACCCATTGCCTGGGCACAGGCTCGTGCCCGAATCACAGGTTATCAGCCGTAGGACTTTCCTACGCGCTTGAGACCATCAACTACAAGCTCTATGTCGACCCCACGATCACACAGGAGTGTCGTGGATGAGGAGGCCATCCGAGGGGGCCTCCGCTCAGGTGAGGACCTACCGGACTTCGAATATGAGGATTTCGAAGCAGGTTCGGCAGGTCAGGATCGCAGGGGTGAGGATCCCGGTAGGGACACGCCCAGGAGCCGTGGCAGGTACACCGACGATGGAGACGATCGCATTTTCCGTCAGGCCACTGATGATGAGCAGACACGAAGGGTTCGCTCCGATAGGAGCGGCTCTGAATCAGGTCACAGGCGCGGACAGTTCGACTTCATCAGCATGGCGATGAACATGGCCCGCCCTCATTCGGAGATCTCTTGTTCCAGGTGAATCGCAGGTCTCGGATGAGTTTGAGGACAGGCCGCAGGGACCAGGGACTATGGTTTTGGCTCCGGGAGGTATCTCGGGTCGATCCACTGGTTCTCAAAATCCAGGTCAGTTTGATGAGCATGAGGGGAGGAAATTCACAGGCTTCGGATACGATGCTCTGTTGAAATCAACCGCAGGCTGGGGCAGTAGCGCAAAGCAGGAGTCTGATGCCGATAGGCCCAACCCTGTCGCTGCCGAGTTTGAGTTTGATAATGATGAAGATTATGCCGCATTTGCGGATCGTCGTGATGAAGAAGAGGATCAGTCGCGCCGGAATACTAGAATCCGTGCTGCCGCGAGGCCCAGGAGCCTCTCTCGTGGAGCTGCCAGGGACCTTCATGTTGACAGGGACGCCCGGAGCGAGAGAGAGAGAGCCAGGGATAGCCGGGAAGTTCTTAGGGGATTGGAGGCCATCCATGACCGGGAGGGACCGATAGGTCCCCCAGTGATTGGTGATACCCCGAATGTTCCCCCTTTTCCCAATATTACATTTGGAGGTCCGCTGCATCAGAGAGACGAGAACTCGAACCGGGTTACTGGTTCGCCGAGGATCACTGAACGGGCTGCCGATGTCGTTGGGACAGGTGCAAGAGATGGTCGGCTTGCCGATGCACTCGGAATCGAAGATCGTCCGTCGATCGCTAGCCCGTTAGGGCGAGATACCAGTGACCTTGAAACGCTAAGGTCTAGCAACGAGTTCACACCTCAATGGGGCTCGACCGCCAGGGAACGTAGTGCTTCTGCGAAGAGGCCGTCACCCCTGGCCATTGAGACCGATAGGTCAAAGGCGAGGAGGGCTAGCCCCTCACCAATGGGTTCAACTCCGCAGGATGAGGAGATGCCTGATCCTGCTGATGTTCACATTCACTCTACTCCCGAGTCTCGTGCATCCAACATTGATCCCCGATCTGGCGATAGCCGGAGAAGGGGATCTACCCCTAGCAGGCCGTCCAGGATAGGTGATAGTCCTGTAGGCGAACCCAGAAGACTTGCTAAAGCTAGTGGGGCTCCTGAGAGGATCGAGATATCGACTCCTCCAGCACGCAGGTCCCATTCTTCCGGTGAGTCAGGTGACGCCAGGGCAAAGGAGGTGTTTGATTTGCACATCCAGGAGATGCTCGAGAGGGGTGAGGTGTCTAGTCCAGTCGCGAAAGCGTTCCATATCTTTGCTGACCAAATCAGGTTACTGAACGGTCAGGTGGGTTCCATACGAAAGGAGTGGAGCGACGAGAATCAGCAGACGAAGGACAGGGTCAATCGTTTGGCGACTGAGGTTGCGACTCAATCTGATGCCGGTAGGATGCGAATGATAGTTCAACGGTTTGCCAGCGAAGTTATTCCTGACAGCAAGGCCATTGTGAGGCAAGCCATCGATGAACAGGCTGAAGTCGTGGATGAGAGGATCAATCTGCTTTCCCACGAGGTTCATGAGTCTGTTAAGGACAGTGAAATCGCAACAGATCAGCTTCGTCAGATGATTCGAGAGAATCGTGAGGCCACCCGCAGGAGCCATGCTGCTTCCGAGGATGAGATCCTTAAGGACTTAGACAAGCTCGAGGGACGGATGATCTCGGTAGAGAAAACCGTTGGGATGCGGACGCCAGCAGGTGAATGGAATTTGGATCCTGCTGCGCAACCGCCCGATAGGGCCACCAGCAGTGGGGCAAACGCGAGTTTCAGGGAGTTAAACCTGAAGCTCGAGAAGGTTCTTCTTGAACACGAGAAGTTTGCTAAGTGGGCCTCCGAATCTATTGGTGGTATTAATGAAGAACAAATCATTCTTGCTAATCGAATGTCGAGGCTGCAAAGTGGGAGGGGGTCCCAGGCGGTCGATAGACCATCAGGGCCTGTTTCCCCGCAGGACTGGCATGAAGCAATTGACGAGGTCAATCGAAAGGTCCAGGATCTATCTCGCGGAGTTCAACGCCAACATCGGGATCATGACGATGTCATCGCGAGATTTGAGACCGTGAAATCCCATGTTGAGCAGTATGAAGCGAGATCGGGAATTCTGAACCGGGTCCTTGATGACATCAGAGGACAGATCCGTAATCTCCCTGCGAAAAGTGATCAAGCGCGGTCTGCCGTTAGGCGTGAACTCGATTCATTTCGGAACACGCTTGAAGGCGCAGTGCGGAGAATCACTACTGTCGAGAGTAACGTGCGTACTCTTAATGGAATGAACAACAGGATCATGGCTCAGCTCTCTGAAATTGAAGGTCATGTTGATGAGGCTGCTGATATTATTCAGGGTGTCCAGGACAATCAGATGAATCCCCAACAGCCCAGAGAAAGACGGAATGTTGGATACAATTTTTTTGCGGGGCAGGGACATAGAATCAGGTCTCCGACGCCCACTCCCGGAGAAGGTAACGGTCGGGGTACTGGCCTTCCGGTGAGACCGGGCGGGGGTGTTGATTTGGCTGATCATGTTTTGCCAAATGTGCCCGGTAGGGTCGATCCTTCTCATGCAGGCAGGCATCCCATTCATCCCGATAGGGAGAGGGCTGACAGCAGAAGCAGGGGTGTGGGTAGGAATAGGAGCCCGAGGCCTGCTGCCGTCCCCGATAGGGGATCTGAGATCCGGAGTCGGCAATCGAGGGGGGAAAGGCCAATCCGCGATAGCGGGAGCATCTCTCCGAACCTGGATAGGCCGATCCGCGATAGCGGGAGCGTCTCTCCGAACCCAAACCGTCATCCAGGAGGTGGTAGGGCCCATGCCGACATCCAGAGTCCCGGCGATAGCTGGAGGACTCCTGGGAGTAGAGCTCATGCCGATATCCAGAGTCCCGGCGATAGCAGGACCCCTGGAACTCCATCCGATCGTGGACGGGCCTCGGCACCGGCCGCAAGAGGAGCTCCCGGTACCGGTGGCCCAGGTGCGCCAAAGATCTGTGCCCTCGATGATCCCAACGACCGTAGGCACCCGGATGCTGAATTCTCATGTGTTACGTGCAATCGTGAGTTTTGCAGGCTTTGCCGGGGCGACGATGGGGACTGTTGCAATTGTCACTTCTTGAAGATGAAATGTTGGGCATGTCGTAAAAGTGCCCAGGAGGTCTCTATGTATTCCTGCACGGAGTGTGGGAACCACATCTGTGAGGATCACAGTCATTTTGGCAGTGATGGCCTCGAGCGATGTGCGCGCTGTAATATTCGGCATGAACGCGCTGAAGCTGGACCGCCCCCTCCTCCTCCTGGGGGAGGAGATGGGCAAGGCGGACCACCCGGCCAAGGTGGGGGCGGAAGCGGTGGTCATGGACATGCTCCATTTCCACCACCAGGACCTGGGCATCCCGGCGGAGGCCAAGGTCCCGCTGGACCTCCTGGAGGCCCGAGTGGTCGGGCTCCTACCGGGGGATACCCTGGTGGAGCACCCGGGTTCTATGGTAGCGCTGCTGACTCTCATGGAGCTGGGAACAACCAGTGTGGTTCGAGTTTCTATGGTCCAGCCTTTGGGGGTGGTGTCTACAGTCAGGGCGTTGGTGCTGGCGTTAGTCAGCCCTATGTTGCTCCAGGCTACCCTGCAAGCATCGGGCATGCCAGTAATCCTGGAGCGGGTCAGTGCCATGGCTATGGCGCAAATGGTGCCGATAGGCCGGGGGATGGCGGTCTTCTTCCTGAAACAATCAGAGGAGACGA